TCAGGCTGGACTCGAACTGCTGTTGCTCAGAGCTCAAACTCTTGAGCGAGCTCTTAACCAACTGAGCCACTCGGCCGGCCCAAACATTACTTTGTTATTGCTTTCTGACACTAGGTGCTACACAGGTGTGCAGTCTTTCTCTAGAACTAGCTATAGGTTTATGTTGGAATAACGGGGCTCTCCACAAGGCCTATCAACCTTATTCTTGGCTTTGTAAGACTCAAGTTGTATCCCGTATCTGGTGGCAGCGGCTCTTTCAGCCCGGAGGAAACTCAGATTACTCAGCATCTCTTCCTGTCACGGCATTATTTATGTGTCTCTGTAGCTGGATCCTACTCACTGGTGGATTCTAAGCCACTGCTGAGCACACCATGTACATTTTATTGCTCTTCCAGAGGCACCAAGCTGACAATAGAAACAAAACCATGGTGGTTACAAAACAAGTTAAATCTTTATTATCTTTTGAGCATTTCACAAACAACATTGTAAACGTGCGATGTTATGTTTTAAATCAGACCACAGTGGTCCCCAAATATTATGTACATATATGGCAAATGTCAGTGTAACTTTTTGTTACACTGGCAGTCTCATAGGTAACCAAACCTATGCTCCAATGTTAAATTATTTGTGTGTGTATGTAAAATACACAAGCTTTAAGCTATGTGTGTACGAACATGAAAGATAATGCAACCATACCAATTGTAAACAGTGGATTATAATTATTTTGGGTGGTATTAGGTTATATCGTTGCATAACTCTCGGCTGTCCTTTCTCTTGCACATGCCATTCATTTGCTGATTTTTGTGATGTGAATACTCCTTTTCGTTAATTTGAGCGCAAAGCACAAGTATATCACCGTTTAATGTTACCCAACAAGAGTGAGTGTCAAGTGATGACAAGTTCCCATTTCACCCGCTATACTTTTACTGCATTGATTAATGACACATGGTTGAGATGTGCGCTGACTTCATTGCTCACCTGGGATACCGCATGAGCCCGCTGAACTAGAGCTACTCCTATTAGATAAATGAGCAGTACACATAGGTGCATGTTATGAAACATGAATCACATAGAGTTGTGGAGTTTTACCAAGTGATATTAGTTTTTTTTTTTTTACTATGCAAAGATGGGCAATGCACAAAACGTTTCAAAGACTAGTGTCTGAAGAACTTTACAAACAATACTTGAACCCTTTCTTTAAAGTCATCCCATCATGTTTTATAGTCATCGTTGCTTCCATTGTTGATTTTCATTTTTAAATGGTTTGTAATTTTTTAAATGCACAGCGTAAAGTTTGATTTGAAGGTAATAAATTAATTCATGATCTATTTGGCTGCCTATGAATGGAGGTTCAGTACTCATTGTATGCATCTTTTAGTCAAGTGTGTATTAAAACTTTTGTTAACATAAATGTTGTAGCTTTATACTTTGATCGTTTTTCATAAACCCTTTTTCTGTATTCTCTTGTATTGTTGAATAAATGGCCATGTGCCTGATATCAAGAGTTTTAGCACAGGTCTCTCATTCAAAGGCTCCCTGAAAATTTAAGCAGTCAATGGAGCAAAATAAAATCTCTGATAAATGATAAATATATTCCTGATTAGGATTCAGTTTTGTTGGATTTATTGGAAATGCTTTGCTTTTTATAAATCAGAAAAAAACAACAACCCCGCCTTAGAATCATACCATTATCAATTTTTTTCTATAGTGTCTCTTCTGACTGTAAAGGGGGTGGCAAATAATAACATCCACACTTTTGACCTGGTACCAAATTGACAATCAGGCTGTAAAGAAAAGAGTGTTATTTATACAAATTGTGTTATCAAAAATATTCAAAGTAATGGACTTCCTAATACTTCACATGGAATTGGCCATCCAATGGTCATCCTTCTTCTTGAATGTCATCCAGTATGTCTCCTCTCCATCCCCATTGCCATGCCATGGTTTGGCATCAACAGCCACACGTATCTCATATATTTACTGCACTGACACACAGACAGGCCACATCATTCTGACCACATCATTCCTCTGATGAAAGTTTGCAGGGGCTCTTCATTGTCTACAGGAATAAAGTCTAAACTTAATGTAACTTAAACTTCTGCCTGCCGTTCGTGGCCCCAGGCTTGTTTATTTTTCTAGCCTTCAATGGCTCTTATCCTCTCACAGCCATCCTAGTTGAAGTTCCTCTCCAAGGGCCTCTTCTACCCATACCTGAATAATCTTAATGTAAATTTTAATCCACCCACCATAATACACTTGTTTCTATGTCATTACATGTAACAAAAGAAATGATGAAACACTTAAAAATAACATGAATATTATACTTTAAATAAGAAAGCATATTAGAATTATTTATGTTTGACTTTAAAAGAATTATCTGGTTATTTGATAGGGTTTCCTTTAGGTCATTCTGTTTTGAGGTTGACATTGAAATGAGTTCTACTGCATGCTCCCTGGGTAACTGACTGAGAAAGGTGACTCAGAAATAAAAAACTCCCTAGGTAATAGAACAGCATCTCTAGAGTTAAAACATCCATGTGAGTAATTAAGTAGATAATCCATATGCTCACGATGTAATTCCTAAGTAACTTTTAAAATTTAAGATAGGCACCCTTTAGGTTAACGCGCAAAGGGTGAGGGACTGCTGCCATTAATTTACTCATTCAACAAATATTTATTAAGCCTCTATGCCAGGAACAACTCCTAGGAATTTAAGGAACAAAAGAAAATTCTAGGCCTAAAGTTGCTCATACTTTAGCAGGGAGATACATGTGATAAATGTGATAAATGAAATTCTGAACGGGAATGGAAAGAACTTGGGTCAGGCAGGTGGGAGACGGATGCAGGAAGGCCTCCTGAAAGAAGTGAGTTTTGAATTCCCTTGAAAGATGCGAAGAGTTTGCTAATCTAATGAAGTGGGAAAAACACTCAAGGCACAGAAAGCCACGTGTACCAAGACCCAGGAAGAAGAGCTCGGACCCTCGGGGTAAGTAATGCTACGTTTATGATCCATCTGGCCCGTGTTTCCTTCCATCTCCCTCCTTTTTTTCTTCCTACCTTCCACAAACACTTGATCTGTGAAAATCCTACACTACTGTGCTGGGTCTCAAGAACATGAAGATGAGCTCTCAATCTTGTGAGTGAGATGCAACATGTAAATACCACATGATAAGTGCTCTAATCAACATAAGTATTAGGTGCTTCAGGAGAAGAGAGGAGAGTGACGCTATCCTTGTCCTTGAGATCAAGGAGGGTTTCACAGAGGAGGTCGCATGTAGGCAAAAGGCTGTACAATTGTACAAAAGGCTGTAATGCGGTGATCACTCGTTATTATAACCAGGACTCACTTTGGTTGATTAAAAGTACATTCATAGATGCCTTGGAAGAACAACCTGTAATGTTCAGTCTAATGCTCCACTTCAGATATCTGGATTTGTTTTGCTTATGTGACGATAATTACTATAAGGCTATCCATCAGAAGCTTATATTTTTAGATACTTTCCCACTGATGTGCTCATCATAGATCAGTCTTAAATGCTTGGAATTGTCTGTAATAACAGGGCTTTTTGACTTGACCTATAAATCTTGAATATTTTCTTAACATACAGATCCCTAGATAATTCCAGTCTGGAGTGAAGGGGTGACTAAGTACCATAAATGCTTTTAAAGCATCATTTAGTAAGTCCTTCATTTAATGAAGGGTCAAAATCATTTTTCCAAGCACAGCTGCACTTCCGGGCTACCAAAGTTAGTGTTTGTCTTGTGTTTTGGAAAGAAACTTACCTACCATTCCTCAGTCTTCAAAAGCCCACCAGCAGGTTTGGCTTCTTGACTAGAACAAGTCCTAGGCCACACACGTGACTTCTGGAGAGAAATGAAATGCCATGATCCGTCATTACCGCAAAGTAGTTGTCCTGCTGAGATCTGCCGATGCTCCTTTGCCAGCTGATTGCCTGAGCGTGCACACTTGCTCTGGTGTGGCTGCAAAGACTGCACTTGTGACCCCACAGCATCCACCTTTATGAGAACATTTACCTGATTGTGATGATCACTGAAAGCCAAATAAGCTGAGTGAATCGACTGGCCCTCCAAAAAACAAGGCAAAACAAACCAAAGCAAAACAAAATAACATCTTCATCCTAAATGATCAGGAGTATATCAAGAGTTCTTCAGATGTCTTTGGAGCTGTAAATAGCTTCCACCCTTCAGGAGGTAAATGAGCTTGCGGCAGAGCTCCTTGCTACGTCAGGCCAGGTCTCAGGGTGAAGACAAAAAAGGGTAACTTGGATTGTAAGTGACATCAGGGAGGCCTCTGTTCTGCAGCAACAGACACAGATCTGCAGAGTCATTGTAATTCCCATAGAAATAGCAAATGGACTGTATGCGGTAGGCTTACTCTGCTTTTCCTACGTAGGTGAAATGGCTACAAAGCAAAGATGACAAACCCTAATGTCTACAGAAGCCAGTTACCCCAATGAGCAGAACAGCACAGCGTAGGACATGAGAGGTGAGGGAGATGGAGCTGAGCTGTAGAGCACAT